GTCTTTCTCCACACTTCTAAACACTCTTTATGCATCTCTAGCACTAGTAATCAATCAAATTTATTGTATTCTAACATATTCTAACCCAAACCAATGCTAGATAAGCCATTCAATGCTTCGAAGTAATGTTTGTGGGTTCTAAGCCCTATTCGGACCAAATGTTAGCAAGTCTTTCTATTCACTTCTAAACACTCTTCATGCATCTCTCACTACAAGAAAACCTGCGTTTTGGTACTACCTGTTGTGACTCTTTTTTCGGTCGCAAAAAAAAGCGACGCTATAGTGACCATTTTACGGCAAATAAGCAACTATAGCATATCCGGATGGGAAACCGTCGGTAAGTAACGACGAACATTTAAAGTCTCGAAAACTTCTCATATTTGCTTCTGTTTAGCAACTACTATGCGACTAAACAAAAGTAGTCGGGAGAGGGTCGCTATGAGAGACTAATTTGTGACATTTTTAATAGTCGACAGAAGTAGTCGCAAATAGTTCACAAAAGAGCGACGGCGGGGTTGTAACTTCATCTAGTAGTCACAGATTAGTGGGAAAGAGGTAGTAAAATATCGTTACAAACGTTGAAAATGTAAAAGTTTGGTACAACTAACTATTGCAACGTTGTTTGGTATAGTCACAAATTAGTCGGTGAAGATGAAGTTTCTGAAGATGAGTAATTTCAATGTAAAATAATTTTTAAGGATTGTTTTGTAAAATATAATTTCTAAGATTTTGTTTAATTTACCAATATCTAATTATGTTTATCTTCTTATATACATAACCAATTAACAAATGATTACATTGGCAATTTGGTTCCATATAATAAATACTACAAATACAATAGCGGTTATGTAATATTTTGTTCAATAATACGAAGAGACAAAATAGTTGCAAAACAAGTCAGAAATGCGTCCTAACATCTTCAGAAAGTGGTCTGTAATAGAGTGCAAACAAAACAAGATAGTCGTCGCATATAAATGACAACATAGTCGCAAAATGTGACTCTGTTGTGACAGACCTTTACTAGTCACAAAACAAAACTTGCATTATACACGATTTGGATCAATTTTGTTTTAATATATCACTCATAAACAATCAAATAGGCAGCATATAGTACATATATTACTACTACTTGCAAAAATTAAATTTATATCACTTTTTAAAAGGATTTTGCTAAAACCATCATCATTACCCTAAAACATCATGTAACCCTTTCATCATATTTGTTACTAATGAAAGCTTGGTTAGAAAAAACTCACTATGCCACTTTTACTTAGTTTTTAGAGCTAATGTCGATGAAATCAATGTATAAATGAATAACTAACCATTTTAACATATCTCATTGCTCTAATTTCAAATTAACTAAATACGAGAGTGGCTAATTAGTCACAAAACAGTATGTAACTCTTTTGCGACTACTTTGCTTCAAGTTTGCTACTACGGCTCTGTTTGTTACATGGTCGCAGTGATCATGATATGCAAATACAAAATAAACTGTGCCGATGTTCTAAGCATTAAAAGTAGTCGTCGATCATCTTTAAAATCGTCGCTGTTGTCGTTAAAAGAGTCACTCCAACTCTTGCTCGAAATTCCAACGACAATCCGTTTTACGTAAACACACATTCATTTCTTTCTCCTGCAACACCTCCATCAATTCGTCACTGTCGTTTTGTTCTGTCTTTAGCTGCTATCACCGTGGTTTTGTGCTTTCGCAGTCACAGTCGCTGCAAATGAGAAAACTTTCATTAGTTCGTCGGAAATAAGTCTGAAAATAGTCGCAAAAAAGGCACAAGATAGGCGTCGCAAAACCATTACAAAAGAGTCGCACATTGTGACTCTTTTGTGACAGACATTCATTAGTCGCACAACAAAACTTAAATTATACACGATTTAGATCAATATTGCTGTAATATATCACTCATAAACATTCAAATAGGTAGCATAGAGTACATATATTACTATTACTTGCAAAAATTAAGCTTATATCACTATTTTTAAGGATTTAGCTAAAACCCTCATCATTACCCTAAAACAACATGTTAACCTTTCATTAGATTTTTTACTAATGAAAGCTTGGTTAGAAAAACACCTACAATGCAGGGTCTTAATTATTTTTTACAGCTAATGTCGATAAAATCAATGTATAAACGTATTACTAATCTTTTTAAGAAATCTCATTACTCTAATTTCGATTTAACTAAAGTCGAGAGTGGCTAAACAGTTGCAAATTCGTCTGTAAAATATTTGCAACTAGGTTGCTACATATTTGCTACTTTTTTGTACATGTTTTGCGACTTATTTGAGACTGTTTTTAAATTTCGATAATTTTTACGGATTTTGACTAAGTGTTTAGGCGATAAATATTCCCCACAAATAATTATGTAATTACTCTTTTGGTACCTCATCTATCTAAACATTTTTGAAGTACATTTTATACTAAAATCTATTTTGGGTTATAACATTTTATTTTATAAAATTTGCATAATCAAACCCTCGCCATTTGAATAAATAACAAAATTTAAACGTAAATTTTGTAATTAAATCAGAAGCAAATCGCAAAATTGAAAAAATATATTTATTAGATCAAAAATATTTCCTAAAATCTCTCTCTAATAAAATATTTATTTAATCTTTAAACCAACAATTCAGTAATATATATATATATATTCAAAAAATAAAGTTCTTATTAAAAATTCCTGAAACAAATTCAAACCCTATATTAGAAATTCTATAACTTACTTTATACTTATAGACTTAAAAAAGTTAATCAAAAACTATAAAACTACAATTTACCAAAAGCCAAAATAGAGAAGGTTTCTCATTGGCTAGTCTATTATGACATAAAATTCAAACCTATATCAGAAATTCTGAAACTTTTAACTTTATACTCATAGACTTAAAAAATTAAATAAAATCTATAAAACCAAAATTTACCAAAGCAAAAAACAGAGAAATTTCCTCATTGGCTAGTCCACAATGACAAGGATTGAGCTTTGATTAATTTCCACCATCGATAGATTAAATCTAACGGCTGAGATCTTATCCTTCTTTTTTTTTTTGTTGTCTTAAACTTCTCCTTCATTCTTTCGCCTTCTTCGTTCTCTCCTTAGTCTCTTAGAAATCCTAAAATCGTGGAACAAGAGAGGATGGAACAACGAATTCATCATGTTTCATCTTAGTTTTTTTTTGTTTCGAGGTTAGATTTACCTAACTCGATTTCTCTCTCGGATCTTCATGGTGTTAATTCACAAAAAATGGATCTCATGAACGACAACTATAATCCACAAGGCGGCAATCACTTGAAGCATCGTGTCGGCGATATTGGATTGGAGTCAACGAAGGAAGCGAGCCTAGCTATGATTTCAAACCTATTCTCCCAAATGCCTCCGTCGGATTGTCTCACCACGCTTTAGATCTCAGTGGGTCTGCTAATTTCACGGCTGCTAGGTTTTGGGATGCTTCTCATCCAAAGTCGGTTTCAACTTTATTCTACGAGAGTAATATTTCAAAGTCTCATATCTCTCCTGGTCTTTGTGATTTGAGATCAAACTCCTTTGTTTGTGTTTGTGTTTCTGTTAATTATTAAGATGGTGATAGTTTGCTTATTAGAATTGGTTCTAATGTTTAGAATAAGCATAAACTCTAATTTTGATTGTTTTGCTCATGTGGATTCTGGTCAGTAGATCTCTTTGGCAAGCTAATGTCAATGTGTACATGTCTATGCGAGTGGACTCTTCTTTGAGAGTGTCACTGGGGAAGCTATATATGGGTTGTATTCTCCATGGTAAGATTTTTCTGATTGTTTGTTTCATCTTTTTAGGTCTGTGGTGGATAAAACTCTTAAAAGCACTGGGAAAGATAGATAACATGAGAAAGGGTAGAGGCTCTCCACCATTTACAAATCAATCACTAATTTCAAAGAGATTGATGAGGTCACCGCCGCTGCAAATGATGAGGTCACCGCCGCTCACTGCTCACCGACGCTCATCGTTGCTCGCTGACGCTCACCAGCCTATACACCAGCCATCTCACTAGCCAACGTAGGAGAAACAATATCAGTAAACCACACCGCTAGGAACTATCTCAGACACCACAACACACCACCAGGAACCATACCAACTACTTCAGCACCTTGTTCATCATTCTAAAAACTTTTTACCTTCTCTTATGTACATGTTAGATCTTTTGGAAGTTTAAAGATTGTGTAAGGCTTTGATTAGTAACATTATGAATTTGATTAGCAACATTTTGGCTGATTTATTATATAAATTATGCATTTTGTTTTAGCTTTTTAAAATCAAAGCAAAATACTAATAAATAACCATCTAATAATAGTAAATATAATAGCAAATTAGTGGTCTAATTAATTTACAAAAAAATCCTTACAAATCACTAAATGGTTGCTAATTTGCGACTGGTTAAATAGTCCTTAAACCATCACAAATCAATAAGTAATCCCAAATTGGTCTCTAATATACAATTGCTAGGTTTGTCACAAAGTAGTCGTTAATAAGTAGGCGTTAGTACTCCGTCATAAATATACGACTATTTGTATAAGTCTCTAAACCGTCACTAATATACGACCATATATATCAGTCTCAAAAGAGTCGCAAATATGCGATGTAATTGCGACCATTAAATTTAGCGACCGTTTTTTAGCGACCAACTTGGTTAGTCTCGTAATAGTCGCAAATAGATGTTTTGCGACGTTTTTAGGACTTTTTTGGGGGTTGCAAATGGCTTGTTTTCTTGTAGTGATCTGACCAAATTTAAGCAAGTCTTTCTACTAACTTCTAAACACTCTTCATGCATCTCTAGCACTTGTAATCAATAAAATTAATTGTATTCTAACATATTCTAACCTTAAACAACACTAGACAAGCTATTTAGTTGTTCAACGCAATGTTATGAGTTCTTACCCCATTTGGGACCAAATTTCAACAAGTCTTTCTCCAAAGTTCTAAACACTCTCTATGCATCTCTAGCACTTTTAATCAATTATATTTATTGTATTCTAACATATTCTAACCCTAAGCAACACTAGATAAGCCATTTAATGCTTCAAAGCAATGTTTGTGGGTTCTAACCCCTTTTCGGACCAAATTTCAGCAAGTCTTTCTACTCATTTCTAAACACTATTCATGCATCTCTATCACTTGTAATCAATCAAATTCACTGTATACTAACATATTCTAACCTTAAAAAAACGCTAGACAAGCCATTTAGTGGTTCATCGCAATGTTTAGGAGTTCTTAGCCTATCTGGGACCAAATTTCAACAAGTATTTCTCCACACTTCTAAACGCTCTTCATGTATCTCTAGCACTTGTAATCAATAAAATTTATTGTATTCTAACATATTCTAACCCAAAGCAACACTAGATAAGCCATTTAATGCTTCAAAGCAATGTTTGTGGGTTCTAAGCCCTTTTCGGACCAAATTTAAGCAAGTCTTTCTACTCACTTCTAAACACTCTTCATGCATCTCTAGCAATTGTAATCAATCAAATTAATTGTATTCTAACATATTCTAACCTTAAACAACACTAGACAAGCCATTTAGTGGTTCAACGCAATGTTTCTGAGTTCTAAGCTTATATGGGACAACATTTCAACAAGTATTTCTCCACACTTCTAAACACTCTTCATGCATCTCTAGGACTTATAATCAATCAAATTCATTATATTCTAGTATATTTCAACCCCAAACAAAATTAGACAAGCCATATACTGTTTCAAGACATGTTTGTGGGTTCTTATCCCATTTAGGACCATATTTCAGCAAGTCTTTCTACACACTTCTAAACACTCTTCATGCATCTCTAGCACTTATAATCAATCAAATTAATTGTATTATCACATATTTTAGCGCCGAACAACACTAGACAGGCCATTGTTTGGTTCAACGCAATGTTTATGAGTTCTTAGCCCATTTGAGACCAAATTTCAACAAGTCTTTCTCCACACTTCTAAACACTCTTCATGTATCTCTAGCACTTGTAATCAATAGAATTTATTGTATTCTAACATATTCTAACCCAAACCAATGCTAGATAAGCCATTTAATGCTTCAAAGCAATGTTTGTGGGTTCTAAGCCCTTTTCGGAGCAAATTTTAGCAAGTCTTTGTACACACTTCTAAACACTCTTGATGCATTTCTAGCACTTGTAATCAATCATATTCATTGTATTCTAACATATTCTAACCTTAACCACCACTAAACAAGCCATTTAGTTGTTCAACGCATTGTTTCGGAGTTCTTAGCCCATTTGGGAGCAAATTTCAACAAGTCTTTCTCCACACTTGTAAAAACTCTTCATGCATCTATAGGACTTGTAATCAATCAAATTCATTGTATTCTAATATATTATATCCCCAAACAACATTAGACAAGCCATTTACTGCTTTAAGATATGTTTGTGGGATCTTAGCCCTTTTCGAACCATATTTCAGCAAGTCTTTCTACACTCTTCATGCATCTCTAGCACTTGTAATCAACAAAATTTCTTTTATTCAAACATATTCTAACCTTAAACAACACTAGACAAGCCATTTAGTGGTTCAACGCAATATTTCTGAGTTCTTAGCCCATTTGGGACCAAATTTCAACGAGTCTTTCTCCACACTTCTAAACACTCTCTATGCATCTCTAGCACTTTTAATCAATTAAATTTAATGTATTCTAACATATTCTAACCCAAACCAACACTAGATAAGCCATCTAATGCTTCAAAGCAATGTTTGTGGGTTCTAAGCCTTTTTCGGACCAAATTTATGCAAGTCTTTCTACTCACTTCTAAACACTCTTCATGCATCTATAACACTTGTAATCAATCAAATTAATTGTATTCTAACATATTCTAACCTTAAAAAAACACTAGACAAGCCATTTAGTGGTTCATCGCAATGTAAAGGAGTTCTTTGCCTATCTGGGACCAAATTTCAACAAGTATTTCTCCACACTTCTAAACACTCTTCATGTATCTCTAGCACTTGTAATCAATAAAATTTATTGCATTCTAACATATTCTAACTCAGAGCATTGCTAGATAAGCCATTTAATGCTTCAAAACAATGTTTGTGGGTTCTAAGCCCTTTTCGGACCAAATTTAAGCAAGTCTTTCTACTCACTTCTAAACACTCTTCATGCATCTCTAGCACTTGTAATCAATCAAATTAATTGTATTCTAACATATTCTAACCTTAAACAACACTAGACAAGCTATTTAGTGGTTCAACGCAATGTTTATGAGTTCTTAGCCCATTTGGGACCAAATTTCAATAAGTGTTTCTCCAAAGTTCTAAACACTCTCTATGCATCTCTAGCACTTTTAATCAATTATATTTATTGTATTCTAACATATTCTAACCCTAAGCAACACTAGATAAGCCATTTAATGCTTCAAAGCAATGTTTGTGGGTTCTAACCCCTTTTCGGACCAAATTTCAGCAAGTCTTTCTACTCATTTCTAAACACTATTCATGCATCTCTAGCACTTGTAATCAATCAAATTCACTGTATACTAACATATTCTAAAATTAAACAACACTAGACAAACCATTTAGTGGTTCAACGCAATGTTTCTGATTTCTAAGCTTATATGGGACAAAATTTCAACAAGTATTTCTCCACACTTCTAAACACTCTTCATGCATCTCTAGGACTTATAATCAATCAAATTCATTATATTCTAGTATATTTCAACCCCAAAAAAAATTAGACAAGCCATATACTGTTTCAAGACATGTTTGTGGGTTCTTATCCCATTTAGGACCATATTTTAGCAAGTCTTTCTACACACTTCTAAACACTTTTCATGCATCTCTAGCACTTGTAATCAATCAAATTAATTGTATTATCACATATTTTAGCGCCGAACAACACTAGCCAGGCCATTGTTTGGTTCAACGCAATGTTTATGAGTTCTTAGCCCATTTGAGACCAAATTTCAACAAGTCTTTCTCCACACTTCTAAACACTCTTCATGTATCTCTAGCACTTTTAATCAATAGAATTTATTGTATTCTAACATATTCTAACCCAAACCAATGCTAGATAAGCCATTTAATGCTTCAAAAGCAATGTTTGTGGGTTCTAAGCCCTTTTCGGAGCAAATTTTAGCAAGTCTTTGTACACACTTCTAAACACTCTTCATGCATCTCTAGCACTTGTAATCAATCATATTCATTGTATTCTAACATATTCTAACCTTAAACAACACTAAACAAGCCATTTAGTGGTTCAACGCATTGTTTCGGAGTTCTTAGCCCATTTGGGACCAAATTTCAACAAGTCTTTCTCCACACTTGTAAAAACTCTTCATGTATCTATAGGACTTGTAATCAATCAAATTCATTGTATTCTAATATATTATATCCCCAATCAACATTAGACAAGCCATTTACTGCTTTAAGACATGTTTGTGGGATCGTAGCCCTTTTCGAACCATATTTCAGCAAGTCTTTCTACACTCTTCATGCATCTCTAGCAATTGTAATCAACAAAATTCATTTTATTCAAACATATTCTAACCTTAAACAACACTAGACAAGCCATTTAGTGGTTCAACGCAATATTTCTGAGTTCTTAGCCCATTTGGGACCAAATTTCAACAAGTCTTTCTCCACACTTCTAAACACTCTCTATGCATCTCTAGCACTTTTAATCAATTAAATTTAATGTATTCTAACATATTCTAACCCAAAGCAACACTAGATAAGCCATCTAATGCTTCAAAGCAATGTTTGTGGGTTCTAAGCCTTTTTCGGACTAAATTTATGCAAGTCTTTCTACTCACTTCTAAACACTCTTCATGCATCTATAACACTTGTAATCAATCAAATTAATTGTATTCTAACATATTCTAACCTTAAAAAAACACTAGACAAGCCATTTAGTGGTTCATCGCAATGTAAAGGAGTTCTTTGCTTATCTGGGACCAAATTTCAACAAGTATTTCTCCACACTTCTAAACACTCTTCATGTATCTCTAGCACTTGTAATCAATAAAATTTATTGCATTCTAACATATTCTAACTCAGAGCATTGCTAGATAAGCCATTTAATGCTTCAAAACAATGTTTGTGGGTTCTAAGCCCTTTTCGGACCAAATTTAAGCAAGTCTTTCTACTCACTTCTAAACACTCTTCATGCATCTCTAGCACTTGTAATCAATCAAATTAATTGTATTCTAACATATTCTAACCTTAAACAACACTAGACAAGCTATTTAGTGGTTCAACGCAATGTTTATGAGTT